TTTGGCATACCTGATAGGTGTTTCTGTTTGGCATGCCTGATACGTGTGGCCGATTGGCATGCCTGATAGGTGTGGCTGTTTGGCATGCCTGATAGGTGTGGATGTTTGGCATGCCTGATAGGCGTGGCTATTTGACATGGCTGATAGAGGTGGCTGTTTGGCATGGCTGATAGGTGTGGTTGTATGGCATACCTGAAAGGTGTTTCTGTTTAGCATGCCTGATCGGGGTGCCTGTTTGGCATGCCTGATCGGTGTGTCTGTTGGGCATGCCAGGTGTGGCTGTTGGGCTTGCCTGATAGATGTGGTTGTTTGGCATGGCTGATAGGGGTGACTGTTTGGCATGACTGATAGGGGTGGCTGTTTGGCATAACTGATAGGTGTTTCTGTTTGCCATCGCTGGTAGGTGTGGATGTTTGGCATGCCTGATAGGTGTGCTGTTTGGCATGGCTGATAGTTGTGGCTGTTTGACATGCCCGATAGGTGTGGCTGTTTGGCATGGCTAATAGGTGAGGCTGTTTGGCATGGCTGATAGGTGTGGCTGTTTGGTTTGCCTGATGATTGTGGCCATTTGGCATGCCTAATAGGGGTGGCTGTTTGGCTTCCCTGATGAGTGTGGCTATTTGGCATGCCTGATAGGTATGGCTGTTTGGCATACCTGATAGGTGAGGATGTTGGGCATGGCTCATAGGTGTGCCTGTTTGGCATGGCTGATACCTGTTGCTGTTTAGCATGCCTGATAGGTGTGGTTGTTTGGCATGCCTGATATACGTGGCTGTTTGACATGCCTGATAGGTGTGGCTGCTTGGCATGACTGATAGGCGTGGCTGTTTGGCATACCTGATAGGTGTGGCTGTTTGGCATGCCTGATAGTTGTGGCTGTTTGGTATAGCTGATAGGTGTAGGTGTTTGGCATGACTGATAGGTGTGGCTGTTTGGCATGGCTGATAGGGGTGGCAGTTTGGCATGCCAGATAGGTGTGGCTATTTGGAATGCCTGGAAGGCGTGGCTGTTTGGCATACCTGATAGGTGTTGCTGTTTGGCATGGCTGATAGATGTGCCTGAATGGCATGCCTGAAAGTTGTGGCAGTTTTGCATGCCTGGTAGTGTGGCTGCTTGGCATGGCTGATAGGCGCAGCTGTTTGACATGCCTGATTGGTGTGCTGTTTGCCATGCCGGATAGGCGTGGCTGTTTGGCATGCCTGATAGTTGTGGCTGTTTGGTATGGCTGATAGTTGTGGCTGTTTGGGATGCTGGATAGGCGTGGCTGTTTGGCATACCCGATAGATTTGGCTGTTTGGCAAGCCTAAAAGGTGTGGCTGTTTGGCATACCTGATAGGTGTTTCTGTTTGGCATGGCTGATTTTTTGTGGCTGTTTGGTTTGCCAGGTCTGGATGTTGGGCTTGATTGATAGGTGTGGCTGTTTGGCACGGCTGAAAGGGGTGGCTGTTTGGTATGGCTGATAGGGGTGGCTGTTTGGCATGCCTGATAGGTATGGATGCTTCGCATGCCTGATAGTTCTGGCTGTTTGGCATGCCTGATAGGTGTGGTTGTATGGCATGGCTGAGAGGTGTGCCTGATTGGCATGCCTGATAGGGTGGCTGCTTGGCATGCCTGATAGGTGTGGTTGTTTGGCATGCCTGATCGGTGTGGCTGTTTGGCATGCCTGACAGGTGTGGCTGATTGGCATGCCTGATAGGTGTGGCTATTTGGCATGCCTGATAGGTGTGGCCGTTTGGCATGACTGATAGGTGTTTCTGTTTGGCATGCCTGATCGGTTTGGCGGTTTGGCATGGTTGCTAGGTGTGGCTGTATGATATGCCTGATATGTGTGGCTGTTTGGCATGCCTAAAAGGTGTGGCTTTTTAAAATGCCTGATTGGCGTGGCTGTTTGGCATGGCTGATAGGGGTGGCTGTTTGGCATGCGTGATAGGTGTGGGTGCTTGGCATGCCTGATAGTTGTGGCTGTTTCGCATGCCTGATAGGTGTTCCAGTTTGGCATGCCTGATAGTTCTGGCTGTTTGGTATGCCTGATAGGAGTGGCTGTTTGGCATGGCTGATAGGTGTGCCTGTTTGGAATGCCTGATAGGGTGGCTGTTTGGCATGCCTGATAGGTGTGGCGGTTTGGCATGCCTGATAGGTGTGGCGGTTTGGCATGCCAGATAGATGTGGCGGTTTAGCATGGCTGATAGGTGTGGCTGTATGGCATGCCCGATATGTGTGGCTGTTTGGCATGGCTGATAGGTGTGGCTGTTTGGCATGCCTGATAGGGTTGCTGTTTTGCATGCCTGATAGGTGGCTGTTTGGCATGCCTGATAGGCGTGGCTAATTGGCATGCCTGATAGGTGTGCCTGTTTGGCATGCTTGATTGGTGTGGCTGTTTGGCATTCCTGATCCGTGTGGCTGTTTGGCATGCCTGATAGTGTGGCTCCTTTGCATGCCTGATAGGTGTGGCTTTTTGGCATGCCTGATAGGTGTGGCTGTTTGGCATGCAGGATAGGTGTGCCTGTTGGCATGCCTGATAGGTGTGGTGTTAGAAATAGACTGCAAATCCCACTTTTGTATTTGTAGTTTTATATCCTAGTTTAGGTTATGAATGTTCTAGAGGGTTGGGGTGTACTCTCAAATCCCAACCTCACCCAATATTGATCCCCCCAATCTCCCTGTACCCAATTAAAGATTCCGGAGATCCCAACAGGGATTCCCTCCGATTCCCCCCTTCATCCATTCTCTCTCACCTGCCATAAACTTATAGAGCCTTGGGCTCCTTATCATTTCAGCTCTATTTCTTACATGGTATCAGAGCAACCTATCCGCACACGCGGATCAAGGTCCTAGTCTTTTTGTGTCCGCGCTACGCGCACCTTTCCGTCGCGACATTCGTCTCGAGTCGTCAGAATTTCGACGTGCTCCACTCTGCAGTCGCGCCTCTCATCGTCGACCGCCTTCGCGTTCGACCTCGTTGAAATCTTTATCTATGAAGCTTTCACGCTTCTCATCGTTGATTTCCTGCTCGGTTCTCAATTTCGACCATCTCTTAAAACTCGTTCTCGAGTTTCCCCTCAGACCCCGCCAGAATAGGCAAACTCCTCTCGCAAAATCGCCTCTACAAACGTCTTGCGTCAAGCAAGAACAGGTACACAGGTGGAAACGGAGCAGAGCTGGTTGCGGAGCTGGTTGCGGAGCTGGTTGCGGAGCTGGTTGCGGAGCTGGTTGTGGAGATGGTTGCGGAGCTGTGTAGCTGCGGGACAGGGCCTGGGGGTGTGTGGGGGGGTCTGTGGGTCCGGGGTTAGTCTCAGATTCAGTTTCAAGTCGGCGTTTTAAAAAAAAATCGTCGACGCCTTTTCGTTGTTAGCGGCATTTCGACGAATCCGTCGGAGTGATTTTCAGCAATTCTCGTCGACCGATTTCCAGAAGTGCCGTGATGGGCACCGAAGTTCCTATCGGTCACTTAAGAGCGTTGCTTTACGAAAATCAAACAGTAATGGCTTACTCAACCACTTCACTCGCCAACCCGATCCCACTCTTTCATCTCGAGCCGGACGGTACATGGCATACAAGGCTTGGCACTATGGTGTCGACAAGCACCTCCTCAGTCGCGAGGTGAAGGTGCTCGAGCTCACCGACGTCCTTCTCAACATCAGTGACGGCAAAGAGCCTCCTAAACCTGAGAGGTCAGCCAATCCAGCTGATGCCGCCTCCGAAACAGTTTATGCTGGTGCACTTGAGTACAAGTATTGGGAGAAGGCTGATGGCGCGGTCATTAGTGTCTTCATGGGCACCACTCCTCCCGAACTCGTCGAAACCTACCACAACTACTCGTCTACCAACGCCATTTGTCTCTACCTCGAAGACCGCTTCCTGAACAAGACTGCAGTGGGAGTTGCTATACTCATCCCCAGCATGTTCCAAGTGCAGCTCGAGGACTCGTCAGGCATGGCGGACTATGTCACCAAGGTGCAGTCCATTCATGGTGAACTCAAACAGTTGGGGATAGTCTTCCCTGAGCAAGCCTCTGCAGCTGCTCTCCTAGTCGGCCTCACTCCGGCATACGAAGTCACACGCAAGATGCTCTTGGGCCTTGCTCCTGCGGACCTCACATCTGCCAACGTCTCATCCGCGCTCCTTTCCGCCGAAAAGGACAACAGCGCTCAAGCCAAGGCCAATGCAATCCGCACTCCCATGCCTCATGCCTATGCCGCTTCGGTACCATTCCAGCGCAACCGCTTCCCCCCGTGTCCCTAATTGGACATTGTGGGGATCACAATCGGGTGAGGTTGGGATTTGTGAATACACCCCAACTCACTAGAACATTCACAACCTAAACTAGGATATAAAATTACAAATACAAAAGTGGTATTTGCAGTCTATTTCTAACACACCCCCATAGACTGCAAACCCGGTCAAGGAGCACATAGCCCCATGGAACGGAGAAGGCGATGGTGGTCATCTGTGCCGAGAGCCTTGGTAAAGAGGTCGGCGAGGTTGCAATCTGAGGAGATATACCGTACCCTCAGCTGGTCACTCTGAACAAGATCTCGGATGAAGAAATGACGAAGTTCGATGTGCTTGGTGCGAGAGTGGAATACAGGATCCTTGGTGAGATGAATGGCACTCTGGTTGTCACACCACAGGGTGGGCGACTGCTGGGGGTAGCCTAACTCAGCGAGGAGAAAGGAGAGCCAGCGTGCCTCTTGAGCAGCCATTGTGCCCGCGTAGAGCTCGGCCTCGCAGGACGACAAGGAGACTGCAGAGGACCGAGTGGAGCGCCAGCTGATGACTCCGCTACCAAGGGTGAAGCAGTACCCTTGGGAGGAGCGTCTGTCAGTCTGGTCATCGGCCCATGAGGAGTCTGTGTATCCCTCGAGCTTGACTGGAGAGGTACCACCAAGAGTGAGGATGTGGGACTTGGTGGCTTGTAGATAGTGGAGGACCCTCTTGGCTGCAGACCAATGCGAGGCAGTGTAGCGTCCAGGGGAGACGTACCGAGAGAGGACACTAACCGGGTAAGCCAAGTCTGGTCGAGTGCACATCATGGCATACATGAGTGAACCGACTAGCTTAGGGTACGGGTCCTTGCAGGCGTCAGGAGAAGGAACTGGAAGGGCCGTGAGCTGATGCTGTAGTGGGAGTGGAGTGGAGACAGAGTTACTGGAGTCCATGTCGAACCGCTTGAGAAGGTTGTCGATGTAGGACTCCTGGGAGAGGGTGATCATGCAAGCCTGGCGGTCACGAGTGATCTCCATCCCCAGGTAGTTCTTGAGGTCACCAAGATCCTTCATGAGAAGGGCGGAGCTGAGAGCAGACTGGACAGCTGCTATGTCGGCTCGATCTCTGGCGGCTAGAATGAAGTCGTCGACGTAGACGAGGATGTAGAAGGGCTCGGAGGAGTGACGAACGAAGAGACTGGAATCTGAGGCAGAGGGATGGAAGTCAAGTGCGAGGAGGACTTCCTTCACCTTGTTGTGCCACTCACGAGGAGCCTGCTTGAGGCCATACACTGGGCGCTTCAGCTTCCATACTGTGTTGGCAGGGTAAGTGCCAGGAAACCCCGGTGGGTGTTCCATGTGAACATCCTCCTTGAGCTGGCCTTGGAGAAAGGCGGAGGAGGCGTCCATGGACTTGATCTCGAAGTTGGCGCGAGCGGCTATATCAAGAAGAGCGCGCACAGTCGGGAGCTTGGCCGTGGGCGAGAATGTTTCGAAGAAGTTGAGATACTCCTTCTGGGTGAAACCCTTCGCCACGTATCGTGCCTTGAACAGTGGAGCTTCGCCTGGGAGTTGTTTGACTCGGAAGATCCATTTTCCGCCGACGATGTTGACACCGGAAGGGGGAACAACATCGTCAAAGCTGTTGTTGCGAATGAACGCCTCGTTCTCCACATCCATTGCTGCCTTCCACTCCTTCTTATAAGGCCCCGAGAGAGCTTCCTCTTTTGTGCGAGGAGTCGGAATGGTCGGGTTCTCGGTGAAGTTGAGGGAAGGGCAGTTAGTAATGTCCGGGAAGATGTGAGAGAGAAATTGGCAGACCGCGTGAAGGTCAAACAGCTCCTCATGCCTGTTCTCCAGAACTGCACGGGGGGGAATACGGATGGAGGGGACATCACCCCCGGCAGGAGGAGGCGGGGTGACCGAACACCGGATGGAGAAGGCGGCTGGTCCCCAGGCGAGAGGCGGAGCCGGTCCCTTGGAACGAGTGCGACTAGAGACCGGAGACGAAGGCGGCTGCGGTGGGACCGGAGGGACTGGGCGCCTCCGATAGGAGACTGGTGAGCCGGGCTCGACGCGCGGGGAAGGCGGAGCAGGAGGAGGTGCCGCTGCGGAGGATACTGGGGAGGCCGGGTGAGACACGCCGGACGGAGAAGGCCCCGGAGAAGGGGCAGCGGCCGTAGGTGGGGCATCGAAGTCTGCCCAAACAAGCGTCGGGGGAGGTGGAGGAGGCTTGCCCGTGGTCGCAGAGTGGAATGGGCGTGTCTCATCGAAGACAACATCACGGCTGCGAATTAGCTGTCTGGTGATTGAGTTGAGGAATAAGTAGTCTGGGGAGTCGGAGTTGTGCCACAGGTACATGCAGGTCTGGGTTTTGGGACCAAGCTTGCCACCTTGCTTCCTGCGCATGTGGGGGCTTAGCAACACATACGCGGTACACCCCCAGACGCGTAGAGAGCGGGCGGAAGGCGTGACCACAAGCCAGAGAGCGGTAGGTGTGGTGTCGGGCCGGTGGGGATGCGGATAAAGATTGTAGAGGAGTGCCGCATGGAAGAGGGCATATCCCCAGAATGACCGTGGTGCGTTGGCGTGACTGAGGAGGCAGCGAGCGATCTGAACCAAGGTGTGGTTGCGGCTCTCTGCAATGCTGTTCTGTTGCGGGCTTTCAGAGAGCGTGAAGGTTTGCCGAATCCCTTGGGCCGCACAGAAGTTACCGAGTTTGGCCATTGCGAAATTCTCCCCCGCCATCAGAATGGAGGCACTTCATAGGAGTGCCGAACGTGACTTGAGCCTGGCGCACCCACGCCATGATAACATCAGGTGCCTTCGCCTTGGTATGCAGGAGGTGCACAGAAACATACCGCGAGTGGTCATCGACTAGTGTGAAGTACCGATGACCGCCTCGGGATGCGACTGGAGCTGGGCCCCAGACATCCATGTGCACTAGGTCCAGCGGAGCAGCTGCGACGGATGGGGAGGAAGGATGCGGCTGCTGCCTGAGCTTGCTCTTGGTGCAGTCCAGGCAGGTGGGTGCAGGTGAGTCTGTTGGTCGAGGAAGCGCCGACGGGAGGCCAAGAAGAAGTTTCTTGGAAGCGATGTCGGCAAGTGTACGGAAGTTGGGGTGACCCAAGCGATGGTGGTAGAGGATGGTTGGATTGGCGAAGCTGCGACACGAACACGGAGTGGTGCTGGCAGCTTGCGCTTGGGAGAGGGCGGCGAGAGGTGCAGGTGAACGCAGCGTGTAGAGCCTGCTACTGTTGAGTGTGAAGCGTGCTAGGAGCTTGTTGGACTTAGGATCGAAGAGGTCACAGTGATCCGAGTGTGCTGGGAAGATCGTGATGACGCCTGCCCGTTGGAGCTCGTGTTGGGCCACGAGATTGTGGCGTAGTGTGGGAACACACATGCCAGTCACACTGCCCGAAGGAAAAGCTGGGCACGGAACTGTGGAGGAGCCCTTGGCGTGTGTTGTGAAACTGGAGTCTGCTCCAAGTAGACGGATTGGTGTCTCGTATGGCTTGAAGGAGTGTTCTTCCTTGAGAACCGTGTGAGTGGCCCCACTGTCGAGGGTGAACTCTATTGTGGCTGAGGTGCTTTGTGAGCCGGGACACTGCGAAACCGTCTCATTAATCATGGCAGTGCCAGGGAACAACAGGTGGAGGTGCACATCAGCAGTGGGAGCTACAGCAGCCTGCACGGATTCCTGCGCTTCGACTTGATTGACCTTGCGAGGAGCACGATTGACCATCCAGCTTGGCGGCTTGGAGGCGGTCCCATTGACGGCATACCACTCATCATCCTTCTTCTTAAAGGAGGAGGCAAGGGCGTGGTTGGTGCCGCCACACACCTGGCCAGCACGAGGGCCGCGCTTGATGACGTAGGGACACGGGGGGAAGCGGTTGCGCTGGAATGGCACCGAAGCGGCATAGGCTTGAGGCACGGGAGCGCGGATTGCATTGGCCTTGGCTTGAGCGCTGTTGTCCTTTTCGGCAGAAAGGAGCGCGGATGAGACCTTGGCAAATGTGAGGTCTGCAGGAGCAAGGCCCAAGAGCATCTTGCGTGTGACTTCGTATGCCGGAGTGAGGCCGACTAGGAGAGCGGCTGCAGGTGCTTGCTCGGGGAAGACTATCCCCAACTGTTTGAGTTCACCATGAATGGACTGCACCTTGGTGACATAGTCCGCCATGCCTGGCGATTCCTCGAGCCGCACTTGGAACATGCTGGGGATGAGTATAGACACTAATGACCGCACCATCGGCCTTCTCCCAATTCTTGTACTTGAGCAGTGCAGCAGCATAAACTGCTTCGGCGGCGGCATTAGCTGGATCGGCGGACCTCTCGGGTTTAGGAGACTCTTTGCCGTCACCGATGTTGAGAAGGACGTCGGTGAGCTCGAGCCCCTTCACCTCGCGACTGAGGAGGTGCTTGTCGACACCATAGCACCAAGCCTTGTAGTTGGAGCATGTACCGTCCGGCTCGAGACGAAGGAGCGGGATCGGGTTGGCGAGTGAAGTGGTTGAGTAAGCCATTGTCGGTGTGCAGCGCGGCACTTCTGGAAATTGGTCGACGAGAATTGCTGAAAATCACTCTGACGGCTGTATCACAATGCCGCTAAGTAGGAAATGGCGTCGCCAAAAATTCGCTAAAACGCTGACTTGAAAATGAATCTGAGCCTATGTCTAACCCCGGACCCACACACCCCACCACACACCCCCAGGCCCTGTCCCGCAGCTACACAGCTCCGCAACCAGCTCCGCAACCAGCTCCGCTCCGCTTCAACCTGTGTACCTGCTCTTGATTTGACGCGAGACGTTCGTGGAGGCGATTTCGCGAGGGGAGTTGGCCTATTCTGGCAGGGTCTGAGGGGAAACTCGAGAACGAGTTTTAAGAGATGGTCAAAATTGAGATTCGACCAAGGAGAACCGATGAGGAAATCGACGATGAGAAGCGTGAAAGCTTCAGAGATGAGAAATTCAACGAGGTTGAGCGCGAAGGTGGTCGACGATGAGACGTGCGACGGCAGAGTGGAGCACGTCGAAATTCCGACGACTCGAAACGAATGTCGCGACGATGAAGTGCTCGTAGCGCGGGCACGTTGAGATTAGGACCTTGATCCGCGTGTGCGGATAGGTCGCTCTGATACCATGTAAGAAATAGAGTTGAAATGATTGATTAGGTAAGGAGCCCAAGGCTCTATAAGTACATGGCAAGGTAAGAGAGAATGGATGAAGGGGGAATTGGAGGGAATCCCCATTGGGATCTCCGGAATCTCCAATTGGGCAATTGGAGATTGGGGGGATCACAATTGGGTGAGGTTGGGATTTGTGAGTACACCCCAACCCAGTAGAACATTCATAACCTAAACTAGGATATAAAAGTACAAATACAAAAGTGGTATTTGCTGTCTATTTCTAACATGTTTTGCATGCCTGGTAGGTGTGGTTGTTTGGCATGGCTGATAGGTGTGGCTGTTTTGTATGCCTGTTCGGTGTGGTTGTTTGGCATATCTGATGTAAGAAATAGAGTTGAAATGATTGATTAGGTAAGGAGCCCAAGGCTCTATAAGTACATGGCAAGGTGAGAGAGAATGGATGAAGGGGGAATTGGAGGGAATCCCCATTGGGATCTCCGGAATCTCCAATTGGGTAAATGGAGATTGGGGGGATCACAATTGGGGGAGGTTGGGATTTGTGAGTACACCCCAACCCACTAGAACATTCCCTACCTAAATTAGGATATAAAAGTACAAATACAAAAGTGGTATTTGCAGTCTATTTCTAACACACCCCCATAGACTGCAAACCCGGTCAAGGAGCACATAGCCCCATGGAACGGAGAAGGCGATGGTGGTCAGCCTTGCCGAGAGCCTTGGTAAAGAGGTCGGCGAGGTTGCAATCTGAGGCGATGTACCGTACCGTCAGCTGGTCACTCTGAACAAGATCTCGGATGAAGAAATGACGAAGTTCGATGTGCTTGGTGCGAGAGTGGAACACAGGATCCTTGGTGAGGTGAATGGCATTCTGGTTGTCACACCACAGGGTGGGCGACTGCTGGGGGTAGCCTAACTCAGCGAGGAGAAAGGAGAGCTAGCGTGCCTCTTGAGCAGCCATTGTGCCCGTGTAGAGCTCGGCCTCGCAGGACGACAGGGAGACTGTAGAGGACCGAGAGGAGTGCCAGCTGATGACTCCGCTACCAAGGGTGAAGCAGTACCCTTGGGAGGAGCGTCTGTCAGTCTGGTCATCGGCCCATGAGGAGTCTGTGTATCCCTCGAGCTTGACTGGAGAGGTACCACCAAGAGTGAGGATGTGAGACTTGGTGGCTTGTAGATAGTGGAGGACCCTCTTGGCTGCAGACCAATGCGAGGCAGTGTAGCGTCCGGGGGAGACGTACCGAGAGAGGACACTAACCGGGTAAGCCAAGTCTGGTCGAGTGCACATGATGGCATACATGAGTGAACCGACTAGCTCAGGGTACGGGTCCTTGCAGGCGTCAGGAGAAGGAACTGGAGGGGCCGTGAGCTGATGCTGTAGTGGGAGTGGAGTGGAGACAGAGTTACTGGAGTCCATGTCGAACCGCTTGAGAAGGTTGTCGATGTAGGACTCCTGGGAGAGGGTGATCGTGCAAGCCTGGCGGTCACGAGTGATCTCCATCCCCAGGTAGTGTTAGAAACAGAAAGGTTCAGTTTATTGATGAAGGAAAGGCATTACATAGGAAGAGAGAGATGAGCTAGGAAGGGAAGGTTGGAAGGGAAGGGGGGGTTAGGACCAATCACAATGGAGGGAGGATCCTTCCAAATGTGGTTGACCACCAGTTGGAGGTGGTCCAAGTGTGGTGTACCACCAGTGGTTTAGCCAACCCACTTGTGGTGCCCCCACAATTGTGGTCCTTGTGTTTGGGGGCTCCAACCACAATTGGGTTGGATTGACACCCCAACACAGGTGTACACCCAACTAGGGATGTAAACACAATATACACAACTAGCATAGCATGGTATATTCTAACACAACCCCATAGCATGCAAAGCTAGTGTATATGTAGGGTACAACCCCAGAATCAGGAAGGGGGGCGGGGCCCAAGGCCGAGAAGGCGGAGGAGGGCAGAGTGCGCGGTCTTCGGGAGGGCCTTGGTGAAGATGTCGGCCAAGTTGGCCTCTGCAGCGATCTTGCGGACCACCAAGTGACCTTGCTGGACCAACTCTCGAACGAAGAAGTAGCGGAGTTCAATGTGCTTGGAGCGGCCATAGAAGACAGGGTCCTTTGTGAGATGGATGATGCTGGCGTTGTCGCACCAGAGGGTGGGACAGCGCTGAGGAGCACCAATCTCAGCAAGGAGGAAGGTGAGCCAGCGAGCCTCCTGAGCGGCCATGGTGCAAGCATAGAGCTCAGCCTCGCAGGATGAGAGGGCGATGGAGGAGGAGCGAGTGGAGCGCCAGCAGATGAGGCCGCTGCCAAGGGTGAAGCCGTAGCCTTGAGAGGAACGGCGATCCGGCTGGGAGTCAGCCCAGGAGGAGTCAGTGAAGCCAGTGAGGAGGGGAGGAGAAGAGCCTCCGAGGGTGAGGACATAGTCCTTGGTACCACGGAGGTAGCGGAGGACCCGCTTCGCTGCAGCCCAGTGCTCATCAGTGTGGCGACCGGTACCGACGAATCGAGCAAGAACACTGATGGGGTAGGCAAGGTCGGGGCGGGTGCACATCATAGCGTACATCAGCGAGCCGACGAGCTCAGCGTAAGGATGGTCAGAGGAGGAGGGAGCAGGAGGAGGGGCAAGATGGTGGTCGGTCTGCAGGGGAGTGGTAACCGGCTTGGCCTGCGCCATGTCGAACCGCTGCAAGACTTGGTCGATGTAGAAGGACTGAGAGAGGGTAATGGTGCGCGATGTGCGGTCCCGGGTGATGGTCATGCCCAGATAGTGCTTGAGCTCACCCAGGTCCTTGCACTTGAGGCGCGCATGCAGGGCGTCCTTCACTTGCTGCATGGCGGCAGCATCGTCAGCGAACAGGATCATGTCGTCGACATACACCAGGATGAAGAAGCGGGTGGGAGAGGAGCGAAGGAAAAGGCTGGCATCAGACTGAGAGGCATGGAACCCCAAGGACTGCAGAGTGGCGGCCAGCTTGTTGTGCCACTCGCGAGGAGCCTGCTTGAGGCCATAAACCGGGCAGCGCAGCTCCCAGACTGTGTTGGCAGGGAAGGCTGCATGAAAGCCTGGAGGCCGCCGCAAGAGGACCCGCTCCTGGAGCTCGCCTTGCAGGAAGGCGTTGGAGACATCCATGGAGGCAATCTCCATGCCAATGCGAACAGCATAGTCGAGGATGGCACGGAGAGTTGGGAGCTTGGCAGTGGGAGAGAATGTCTCCCAGTAGTCGATGCCATGGGTCTGGGTGAAGCCCTTGGCACAATACCGGGCCTTGTAGACCGGCTCCTCACCCGGCAGCTGCTTCACTCGGAACACCCAGAGGCCTTCAACAATGACGTCGTCAGGAGAGGGGACAATGTTAACGAATGAGGCATTGCGGATGAAGGCCTCGCATTCAGCAAAGATAGCCTGGATCCACTTGGCAGCATCGGGGCAGGTGATGGCCTCAAGGAAGTTGGACGGAGTGAATCTGGTGGGAGCGGTAGCGATGCCAAGGATGAGGAGGCCAAGGAAGCCCGGGTAGAGAGGCGTGAGGGAAGGTGTTTGTTGCTGAACGCCAATGAGCTCCTCATGGGAGTCCTCAATGAAGGGAAGGGAGGGTGGGGGTGGCGTTGGCCAACCCCATGGATGGCCTATGAGTGGGCCGTGAGAGCGAGTGTGGATGCGTGGGAGGATGAACGGAGAGGTGGTGCGGCGATGCCGATGAGGTTGCTGCAGTGGCTGCTGCTGCTGCTGCTGTGGCTGCTGCTGGTGCTGCTGCTGCACCTCCTGCTGCGGCTGCTGTTGCTGCACTGCCTGCGTTGCTCCTGCTGCTGCTGCTGCTGCTCCATCCGCTGCTGCACCTCCTGCTGCTGCTGCTGCTGCTGCTGCTGCTCCATCCACTGCTGCTGCTGCACCTGCTGCTGCTGCTGCACCTGCTGCTGCTGCTGCACCTGCTGCTGCTGCTGTTGCTGCTGCTGCTGCTGCTCCTTCTGCTGCTGCTGCTGCTGCTGCTGCTGCTGCTGCTGCTGCTGCTGCTGCTGCTGCTGCTGCTGCTGCTGCTGCTGCTGCTGCTGCTGCTGCTGCTGCTGCTGCTCGTGCGATGAGGCAGAGTGAGCAGGGGAGTCAGGGACAGCTGGGTCGTAAATGTCACCTGAGGAAGGAGGAGGGGGAGGAGCAGGATTTGGAGGAAGGAGGGGAGCCTGGGGAAGGAGTGGGGGAATGACAGCATCAGCCCAGGTGAGGGGGCGGGAGAGAGGAGGAAGGGGGTCGGAAGGCGGAACAGAATGATAGAACGGGATGCTCTCATCGAACACCACGTCACGGCTCTGTAGGAGGCGGCCTGAGGACGGGTGAAGGAAGAGGTAAGCAGGGGCAGAGCGAGCGTGGCCAAGGTAGACACACTCAATGGCCTTGGAGGCGAGCTTTCCTGCCTGCCGAGAGCGGTCAGGTGGGGGGATGAGGACATATGCCTTGCAACCCTTGATACGGAGAATGGCAGCATCTGGCTTGGTGCTAGCCCAGAGCTCAGTGGGAGTGACAGACTGGCGTTGAGGATGTGGGTAAAGATTAGTAAGGAGAGCAGCATGGACAAGGGCATAGCCCCAAAGAGAAGGGGGCGTGGAGGCATGAGTGAGGAGGCAGCGGGCCGTCTTGGTGATCTCACGAATGCGACTCTCAGCAACACCGTTCTGCTGAGGGGAGTGGGGAAGGGTATGAGTCTGCTGGATGCCATGGGTTGAGCAGTAGGAGGAGAGGGTGCGGTTGAGAAACTCACCACCGCCGTCGGAATGGAGGCGGCGGATGGGGCGACCAAAGTGGACTCGGCACTGCTCGGCCCAGGTAACGATGACAGCAGGGGCCTCGGCCTTCGTGTGGAGGAGGAACACCGAGGAGTACCTGCTGTGGTCGTCGACTAGGACAGGCAGGTACCGGTGCCCTTGGCGGGAAGGGGAAGGGTTAGGGCCCCAGAGGTCCATGTGGACGAGGTCAAGGGGGGCAGCAGCAAAGGAAGGATGACTGAGGTGAGGCTGTTGTTTGAGCTTTCCATGAATGCATGTGGCGCATGGGGGAGCGGAAGAGGACGGGAGGGGAGGAAGAGTGGGGGGAAGACCGTCAAGCAAGCGGGAGGAGACGGCTTTACGAAGTGTGGGAAAGTTCATATGACCAAGGCGGTGGTGGATGAGAACAGCGGGGTGGGACAGTGCGCGACAAGAGCATGGGGAGGAGGTGGAGTTGGAGGAAGGTGGCTCTAGAGGGAGGGGAGGGGGGAGAGTGGAGGTGCCTGCACGAGTGGTCACGTGGCATGAGGAGGGGCGGGGTGTGCGGAGGATGTACTGACGAGAGCGAGGGCAAAGTGGGAGGCGATGAAGGAGGCGGCGAGTGGGGCCGTGGAGGAGGTCACAGTAGGTGGCAGAGGCGGGGAAGAGGGTAGTGATGCCAGCCTGTTGGAGTTCACGAATGGAGAGCAGGTTATGACGAAGGGAGGGAATGTGGAGACCAGTGACCACTCCAGAGGGGAAGGGGGGGCAGGGGAGGGTGGAGAGATGAGTGCAAGGGATGGAGAAGCTGGAATCAGCACCATGAACGTTGGTGGGGAAAGGGAGGGAGGTGAGGGTGCCGGCGTCTTTGAGGGCAGTTTCAGTGGCACCACTATCGAGAACAAAGTCAATCGTGAGCGAGGAGGGAGCTGAAGACACGGGGTACTGGAAATCACTGGCATTAAAAACAGAGGGATACATGGAAGTGGAAGCAGGGGAAGAACGCATGAGCTCGCCTAGAAAGCTGGAGTGGGAGGCGGGAGCACTAGGGGAAGGAGAGCCCCAGAGGGGAAAGCCAGGAGGACCTGGTGTGGCTGTGGCGGCCATGGCGGCGGTGCCAAAGCCAAGCTGCTGCTGCTGCCATGCAGATGCTGCGGCTGCGGCTCCTGCAGCTGCGGCTGCAGCCTGACCACCAGAGCCCCACTGCTGCTGCTGCTGCAGCAGCTGCAGCTGCTGGAAGCGGCGAAACTGCTGCAGCTCCTGGGGAGTTATGGGGTCAGCGACAGAGGAGGAGGAGGAGGAGAGCTGAAGATGAGAGGGGAGGAAAGACGGAAGAGTTTTGACATCCTGGAGAGAGGGGCGGGGATCCATGGCAGACCAGCGTGGGGGGGTGCCAGTGTTGCCGCGCTCGAACCAGGCGTCATCATACGCCTTGAAGCAGGTCGCGGGGGGATGGTTGGTTTGGGTGCAGCGCTCACCCGCCCTGGGACCAAAACGGCGAAGATAGGAACATGGGGGGAGAGTGCCAGGGCGGCCACCACGGCTACCAGATGAGCCACCACTGCCTCCACCACCACCACTGCTGCCACCCTCGACCCCGCCACCACCGCCGCCGGCTCCGCTGCCCCCACAACCGCCACCTCCACCCCCTCCCTGAGGGTTGGTGCGGCCGCCACGTGGGCGCCCGCCACGACGCGGCTGTGTGACTGCAAGCTGGGGGTTTTGGGACTCGGTGGAGTTCAGGCTGGAGGGGGGGGTTGAGAGAAGGCGGGCCTCAGCGTCAATGATCCATTGGACCACAGTGTCAAGGGAGGCGCGGGGCTGAGCCTCAGTGAAGGCGATGACGCGCACTTCATATTGAGGGGAGGGGCCTTCGAGGAGACGGTAGATCTGAAGGTTGGGGGGGAGAGTAGTCTGGTGAGCCTCAAGGCGGGAGGCAAGGTCCAGGAGACGGCTGGTGTAGTCAACGGCGCCAGCACTATGTTCGATCGTGATGCTAAAGTATTCCTTGAAGAGCGGTCCGACAGCATCGAAGTCGGTGCGTTCGAACATTGCCTCAAGCTCGAGCCAGATCTGGCGGGAGCCGATGCGACGTGCCTGGAAGTTGCGCATGAGCGCAGACGGGATGGCAAGGAGAAGGGCACCAGTAGCACGGCTGTCCGCCTCGAGCCAGGCGCGACGACGCTCAGCAAATCGCGCAGAGTCAGCGGCATAAGCGGCGGCGGTAGCGGCATGCTGGGTGCGGAGGGTTGCCGACCGCTCGTGTTCCTCCAACGCGATCAGGTAATCAGTATGGAGCACGAGGAACTCACGACGCTGAGTAAGGAAGAGCTGCTCAACTTCAGCGGTGGCAGCGCAAGTGCTAGTGCCAACGGGTACCATGGGGGGCGGAGGTTCCTCGCCGGGATGGGGAATGAGAGGGGGGGGATCGCCAGGGTGAGGCGGCGGGTCCCCAAGGTCACCCTCTGGGAGACCAAGCATGATGTCCAGGAGGCGGAACGGCAGGACATAAGCACTGCCGAGGACGCGGTGGAGGCTGCCGACGAAGGAATACCAGTTGGTTGCTGAGTTGTCGGCAGCGCGCACGAGATGATCGAGGGTCGAGACGTCGACGGGAGGGGGAAAGGATGCCATTGGTGACACGGAGTGGGAGGAAGGCGACGGCGGGTGGACCCGCGGTGGCCGGGAGGGAGCGGCAGCGGGTGGACCCGCGGCGGCTCAAAGAGGAGGGGAGGATGGGGATGGCTGTAGATACTGCTGCTGCTGCTGCTGCTGCTGCTGCTGCTGCTGCTGCTGCTGCTGCTGCTCCTTCTGCTGCTGCTGCTGTTGCTGTTGCTGCTGCTGCCGCTGCTGCTGCTGCCACTGCTGCTGCTGCCGCTGTTGCTGCTGCTGCTGCTGCTGCTCCTTCAGCTGCTGCTGCTGCTGCTGCTCCTTCAGCTGCTGCTGCTGCTGCTGCTACTGCTGCTGCTGCTGCTGCTGAGTCTGCTGCTCCTTCTGGTGCTGCTGCTGCTTCTGCTGCTGCTGCTACGGCTGCAGCAGTGGTAAGGCGGCGCTGAGCAGGTGCAGGTGAGGAGGCAAAAGATGGGGAAAGATGGCAGTTAGCTGATGAAAATAGGACTTGGTAGAAATTTCAGTAGCACTTCGTGATCACATCCAGGAAAGTGTGCAAACTTCGGAAAGCGATATCTGACAATCCAAGCGATGAAGCAGTCCGAAATTTTACGACGTTGTAGCTGACACGAAGAGCGTTCTTTTGCAAGTCGAATCACTCAATTCTGTCAACTATCGAGCGAGCTATGGCGTTTGGCGCATTGGGGGTTTTTGAAAATCCACCCAACAGAAAACTAGTTGAGAGGCGGCGTCTAGCACAGCTGTCAGGCGAGGGGGGGGGGGGCGGGGGGGGTGTGGGTGGAGGAAGAGGGGGGGGGGGAAGTGATTCGCTCACCAAGCTGCAAAGCGGTCGGCCGCGAATTAGACGAATTAATTCGCCCGACTACGATAGCGTTTGCGCTCTTACCTGAGCACAGGTAATCATGAATATTCCCCTGCCCACACGGCGTAGTGTTCGCCACATGGACGAGGCACAGTTTGACAAGTTGGTGGCAAAATTTTCTACCACGGAGGCTCGCCTGACAGCTGTGCTAGACGACAATGTCGGGTTCTCGGTGAAGTTGAGGGAAGGGCAGTCAGTAATGTCCGGGAAGATGTGAGAGAGAAATTGGCAGACCGCGTGAAGGTTAAACAGCTCCTCATGCCTGTCCTCCAGAAGTGCACGGGGGGGAATACGGATGGAGGGGACATCACCCCCGGCAGGAGGAGGCGGGGTTGTTAGAAACAGAAAGGTTCAGTTTATTGATGAAGGAAAGGCATTACATAGGAAGAGAGAGATGAGCTAGGAAGGGAAGGTTGGAAGGGAAGGGGGGGTTAGGACCAATCACAAGGGAGGGAGGATCCTTCCAAATGTGGTTGACCACCAGTTGGAGGTGGTCCAAGTGTGGTGTACCACCAGTGGTTTAGCCAACCCACTTGTGGTGCCCCCACAATTGTGGTCCTTGTGTTTGGGCGCTCCAACCACAATTGGGTTGGATTGACACCCCAACACAGGTGTACACCCAACTAGGGATGTAAACACAATATACACAACTAGCATAGCATGGTATATTCTAACAGGTAGTTCTTGAGGTCACCAAGATCCTTCATGAGAAGTGCGGAGCTGAGAGCAGAATGGACAGCTGCCATATCGGCTGGATCTCTGGCGGCTAGAATGAAGTCGTCGACGTAGACGAGGATGTAGAAGGGCTCGGAGGAGTGACGAACGAAGAGACTGGAATCTGAGGCAGAGGGATGGAAGTCAAGTGCGAGGAGGACTTCCTTCACCTTGTTGTGCCACTCACGAGGAGCCTGCTTGAGGCCATACACTGGGCGCTTCAGCTTCCACACTGTGTTGGCAGGGTAAGTGCCAGGAAACCCCGGTGGGCGTTCCATGTGAACATCCTCCTTGAGCTGGCCTTGGAGAAAGGCGGAGGAGGCGTCCATGGACTTGATCTCGAAGTTGCCGCGAGCGGCTATATCAAGAAGAGCGCGCACAGTCGGGAGCTTGGCCGTGGGCGAGAATGTTTCGAAGAAGTCAAGATACTCCTTCTGGGTGAAACCCTTTGCCACGTATCGTGCCTTGAACAGTGGAGCTTCGCCTGGGAGTTGTTTGACTCGGAAGATCCATTTTCCGCCGACGATGTTGACACCGGAAGGGGGAACAACATCGTCAAAGCTGTTGTTGCGAATGAACGCCTCGTTCTCCACATCCATTGCTGCCTTCCACTCCTTCTTATAAGGCCCCGAGAGAGCTTCCTCTTTTGTGCGAGGAGTCGGAATGGTCGGGTTCTCGGTGAAGTTGAGGGAAGGGCAGTCAGTAATGTCCGGGAAGATGTGAGAGAGAAATTGGCAGACCGCGTGAAGGTCAAACAGCTCCTCATGCCTGTCCTCCAGAAGTGCACGGGGGGGAATACGGATGGAGGGGACATCACCCCCGGCAGGAGGAGGCGGGGTGACCGAACACCGGATGGAGAAGGCGGCTGGTCCCCAGGCGAGAGGCGGAGCCGGTCCCTTGGAACGAGTGCGACTAGAGACCGGAGACGAAGGCGGCTGCGGTGGGACCGGAGGGACTGGGCGCCTCCGATAGGAGACTGGTGAGCCGGGCTCGACGCGCGGGGAAGGCGGAGCAGGAGGAGGTGCCGCTGCGGAGGATACTGGGGAGGCCGGGTGAGACACGCCGGACGAAGAAGGCCCCGGAGAAGGGGCAGCGGCCGGAGTTGGGGCATCGAAGTCTGCCCAAACAAGCGTCGGGGGAGGTGGAGGAGGCTCGCCCGTGGTCGCAGAGTGGAATGGGCGTGTCTCATCGAAGACGACATCACGGCTGCGAATTAGCTGTCTGGTGATTGAGTTGAGGAATAAGTAGTCTGGGGAGTCGGAGTTGTGCCCCAGGTACATGCAGGTCTGGGTTTTGGGACCAAGCTTGCCACCTTGCTTCCTGCGCGTGTGGGGGCTTAGCAACACATACGCGGTACACCCCCAGACGCGTAGAGAGCGGGCGGAAGGCGTGACCCCAAGCCAGAGAGCGGTAGGTGTGGTGTCGGACCGGTGGGGATGCGGATAAAGATTGTAGAGGAGTGCCGCATGGAAGAGGGCATATCCCCAGAGTGACCGTGGTGCGTTGGCATGACTGAGGAGGCAGCGAGCGATCTGAACCAAGGTGTGGTTGCGGCTCTCTGCAATGCCATTCTGCTGCGGCCTTTCGGGGAGCGTAAAGGTTTGCCGAATCCCTTGGGTCGCACAGAAGTTATCGAGTTTGCCAATGCGAAATTCTCCCCCGCCATCAGAATGGAGGCACTTCAGAGGAGTGCCGAACGTGACTTGCGCCTGGCGCACCCACGCCATGATGACATCAGGTGCCTCCGCCTTGGTATGCAGGAGGTGCACAGAAACATACCGCGAGTGGTCATCGACTAGTGTAAGAAAGTACCGATGACCGCCTCGGGATGCGACTGGAGCTGGGCCCCAGACATCCATGTGCACTAGGTCCAGCGGAGCAGCTGCGACGGATGGGGAGGAAGGGTGCGGCTGCTGCCTGAGCTTGCTCTTGGTGCAGTCCAGGCAGGTGGGTGCAGGTGAGTCTGTTGGTGGAGGAAGCGCCGACGGGAGGCAAAGAAGAAGTTTCTTGGAAGCGATGTCGGCAAGTGTACGGAAGTTGGGGTGACCCAAGCGATGGTGGTAGAGGATGGTTGGGTTGGCGAAGCTGCGACACGAACACGGAGTGGTGCTGGCAGCTTGCGCTTGGGAGAGGGCAGCGAGAGGTGCAGGTGAACGCAGCGTGTAGAGCCTGCTACTGTTGAGTGTGAAGCGTGCTAGGAGCTTGTTGGACTTAGGGTCGAAGAGGTCACAGTGATCCGAGTGTGCTGGGAAGATCGCGGTGACGCCTGCCTGTGAAGCTCGTGTTGGGCCACGAGATTGTGGCGTAGTGTGGGAACACACATGCCGGTCACACTGCCCGAAGGAAAAGCTGGGCACGGAACTGTGGAGGAGCCCTTGGCGTGTGTTGTGAAACTGGAGTCTGCTCCAAGTAGACGGATTGGTGTCTCGTATGGCTTGAAGGAGTGTTCTTCCTTGAGAACCGTGTGAGTGGCCCCACTGTCGAGGGTGAACTCTATTGTGGCTGAGGTGCTTTGTGAACCGGGACACTGCGAAATTGTCTCATTAATCATGGCAGTGCCAGGGAACAACATGTGGAGGCGCACATCAGCAGTGGGAGCTACAGCAGCCTGCACGGATTCCTGCGCTTCGACTTGATTGACCTTGCGAGGAGCACGATTGACCATCCAGCTTGGCGGCTTGGAGGCGGTCCCATTGACGGCATACCAATCGTCATCCTTTTTCTTGAACCAGGAGGCAAGGGCGTGGTTGGTGCCGCCACACACCTGGCCGGCACGAGGGCTGCGCTTGATGACATAGGTACACGGGGGGAAGCGGTTGCGCTGGAATGGCGCCGAAGCGGCATAGGCTTGAGGCGCGGGAGCGCGGATTGCATTGGCCTTGGCTTGAGCGCTGTTGTCCTTTTCGGCAGAAAGGAGCGTGGATGAGACCTTGGCAAATATGAGGTCTGCAGGAGCAAGGCCCAAGAGCATCTTGCGTGTGACTTCGTATGCCGGAGTGAGGCCGACTAGGAGAGCGGCTGCAGGTGCTTGCTCGGGGAAGACTATCCCCAACTGTTTGAGTTCACCATGAATGGACTGCACCTTGGTGACATAGTCCGCCATGCCTGGCGAGTCCTCGAGCCGCACTTGGAACATGCTGGGGATGAGTATAGCAACTCCCACTGCAGTCTTGTTCAGGAAGCGATCTTCGAGGTAGAGCCAAATGGCGTTGGCAGACGGGTAGTTGTGGTAGGTTTCGACGAGTTCGGGAGGAGTGGTGCCCATGAAGACACTAATAACCGCACCATCGGCCTTCTCCCAATTCTTGTACTTGAGCAGTGCAGCAGCATAAACTGCTTCGGCGGCGGCATTAGCTGGATCGGCGGACCTCTCGGGTTTAGGAGGCTCTTTGCTGTCACCGATGTTGAGAAGGACGTCGGTGAGCTCGAGCCCCTTCACCTCGCGACTGAGGAGGTGCTTGTCGACACCATAGCGCCAAGCCTTGTAGTTGGAGCATGTACCGTCCGGCTCGAGACGAAGGAGCGGGATCGGGTTGGCGAGTGAAGTGGTTGCGTAAGCCATTGTCGGTGTGCAGCGCGGCACTTCTGGAAATTGGTCGACGAGAATTGCTGAAAATCACTCTGACGGCTGTATGAAAATGCCGCTAAGTAGGAAATGGCGTCGGCGAGCCTTCGTTTAAAACGCCGACTTGAAACTGAATCTGAGCCTATGTCTAACCCCGGACCCACACACCCCACCACACACCCCCAGGCCCTGTCCCGCAGCTACACAGCTCCGCAACCAGCTCCGCAACCAGCTCCACAACCAGCTCCGCAACCAGCTCCGCAACCAGCTCCGCAACCAG